TAAAATACACACAGGGTGTTTTAATATGTATATTTACTAAAATACTATTTTATTTGAAACGGTTAATTTTCTTCAAAATTATTAAAAATACAAAAAAATGTGTCAGATAAAAGTACAACGGTTTCACGAGGGACATATTTTAGTCACGTTGTGTCTTTTTTGGATGGAGACACTAAAAAAATATGAAGATCACCTTCATCTTTTTTTAAATGAAGCTATATAATTTTTTCACATATTTTATTTCTCTACTTATTGCATATAAAAGTACTGAAATAGGAATATCGTAATGTTCCTTCTTAAAGCCATCATTTCCACTTTCACTTGAAATATTTCTTTCTATCATTAATAATTTCAGAGAAGACTGATTGGTTAAAATAAAATAGAGCACTCTGCAAACTCGCACGCACAAACTTCTATTTTTTTTAATATTCTCGTTATATTCTCACCATTAAGATTTTTCAATGCTCGCTCTCCATCTTTACGACTCATGAATGCAACAAAACCACAATTTCTTTGTCTGGCTTTCTCTTCATCGCTACGTGGCCACATTATTTTTATACTAGCTAAAGGACCATATTTGCCGAATATTTCCATTAATTGCTGTTCAGTGATCTAAAAAGATAAAAGAAAGAAAGATTTTTAATTGTGCATCGGTTTCTATATAATAGTGACGCTGCGCGTAGCTTAGCGCCGAGACACTACCGGTGCCTCCAGATAACGTTGTGTGCAAATTGATATTACAGTGATAAAATAATAGTTTACCTTTGGATTTAAATTTCCTAGATATAAATTTGTAGTATTTGGATCACCATTGTCAAATGAACCATCTGTAAAACAAAAATCCTTCAGCATATCCCATATTTATGAGACAGATAAAGGTGATAAGAGGAAAAAGATATTGGAAGGATAATGGTTACCCTCATATATCAGGGCTAAGAGACGGGGATCATCAATGAAGTTATGCAGATTAGCCTTTCGCGGATCCGGAAATGAGGATTTACTACCTACTGAAGTTGTAAGTATACTACAGATTTAAATACTATTGTAATAAAAATATACTGCCATATCTTTTTAAAACCAATAATAACTAAACAATAATTAAATTGATTATACAATATCAAACTATAAAGTAATCATATTATAGGATACACACTCAAGCATATGTATATATACACATATATGTATACCTTCTACACATTTTAAAGCAGCCATCATTGGATCTTCAGATTGTGTAGATATTACAGTTTTCACTACACCCTTATACTTGTGTCTCTCTTCACGTTCCTCTTGAATCATCTTTAGCTCCTCTTTGAATAATTCAAGGTTGCTCTTCTTTTTTTCACCTTCTTTCTTCTTCTTGCCTAGCCTATCTAATTTTCGTTCATTTGTTCCAAGTAATCTTGCATATTCTTGAGCTTGTTCAGCCGATGATCTATTATCAACTAGTTCTGAGATTTTTGACTGTGGTTTATAAAGCTTTCCTTTTTCTCTTGTATCTTCCTCTATAAAAAGAATAAAATTTATGATTTATATAACAAAGTACTTTAAACGCATATTATAATTTCATATTTACGTCTTTTTCCTGCATCATATGTCCCAGCCTTTACCCAAACCTTATTAGTTGTTTTACTAGGTGTTTCTTGAAATGTCGCTACAAATTCTTCAAATGCCTGTACAAAATACACGTAATTATCTATATAAAATATTCAACAAATATAGAAGAGGATGATTGTATGGGGTTATTACTCACCTGAGCCGCAGCTTGTTCTTGCTCCTTTTTACGTTGTTCTTCCAATTCCTTTTTACTTAATGGTCTTTTACCCATTGTACCAATGGAAAAGGCCTTAAGCTTTTGCTCCGCAATTTGCTGTAAATATAGAATATAAGGTCAAGAATATGCAAAGAATCATAAAAACCCCAATGTACAAAGAAGTACCTTCATCATAGCCTTATCCGCCATTTGTAAAGAAATGGTCTAACCTAAAAAAAGGGAGGAAATTACATAAATTATTGACTAAAATTTAATCACCACAAGGATCAATTCACAAAAATAAACAATACATACGAGTTAAATGTTATAAATATTCGTCACAAAATTTCGAATCCATTCAATGAAATATATGTAGAACGTGCAAATACGGTAATGAAATTTAAAAATGTTGCGAAAACAACTGGCTGAAGTAATACGTATGTTGGTAGCTGGACGATTACGGTAGCAATCGATTTATACAAAAACGTAGAATTCCATCAGGATATCAATGTCAAAAGTATTTTATCACACTTCACACGCGAAAAAATCATAAATTATAATCTTTCTCAGGAATCTCATGATAATAGCGACACCTAGGATTGCGTCTTTTGGGTGCGTGGGTGTGTTCTGCTTATACGTTCACACGCTGATTATTATTTCATGCTTGTGTCATCAAATGTTAAACAAGAATGAAATGGTGATTGATGCATGAAATGACCGTTTAAGAAGCTGCGCACAATCAAAGGAACAGAGAACAGAGAATAAAGCCTGATGCACAATAAAGGATATGCGTTCCACTTGATGCTCTAAAGTCTGCGGCATACAATGCTTGTTTTTCTGCTGGATTGCTAGCTGGATTAGAATTTTGCCACCGTATTGGCTGCGATGCTGACACTGACAGTACTGCAGCCAATTAAGATGAGGTCGAACATCAGCATGAAAAAGCAGCCTTAGGTAACGTTCCAAAACTTCTTTTCGAAGGAAAATTTTACTCAAAATATATAATACATGTAACGTATACTATAGCATATAGAGTAAAACTCGGAGAGAAAGTTTCGGAGGAACTTAGCCTAAGGCTGCTTTTTCATGCTGATGCTCGACGCTTATTTTCAGCATTAAAACAGATCACGTGATTAAAATTGATGCTTGGTATTCATCAATTTTGATTACGTAATCTGTTTTGACACTCGAATCGAGCGCCGAACATCGGCATGAAAATTCAGCCTAAGGGTGAAATCACACGGTGCGGAAAAAGGCTGCGGAATAGAGAATGCATCATTCAAATAACCAATTAGCGCTATTCGGAATAACGCTAATTGATTGCTTCTACTTCGCATTCTGTATTTCGCAGTCCTATTCCGGACCGTGTGATTTTACCCTAAGAAGAACTTACTTGAGAAACTGAAATTTATTATTCCCTGTTCTTATTGCCTGCGTTTTTCAATTGTACGTCAAGCTTAACAGTTTATGGCTATAAATGATCCTTTAGTTCGACTAAGTCAAAGTCTCACTACAAATGCTTTGATGTGCTTTGGTTGACCAATTAAAAAAAAAGAATCGTACAAATTGACCAATCAAAAATCTCAGGTGCTTTCCATTTGATACAAGTCGACACAAGTATCATTCTATCTTTGTCACTCTCTGAATGTCAACAAGGATAGAACGACGTTTGTGTCGACTTCGTTTGTCATCAAATGAAAAGCAACCATTATTGATCGATACAAACGTCGTATCACATACCATATCGTAGCATCGTCACTTGTATGGTGAAACCTTCCACCATGGTCACTTGTCACCTGAGCCAACCGCAGCTGATCACGACGTCACATGTGCGTATAGTTTAATCCTGGTTGTCAAATAATCTTCTAATTGCAAAATTGTCGGTATATCAGCTGTGATCGATTGGTCGTATAGGATCGACGACGAGAAATGTACGTCCGATGTTAAAAGATGATGAATCGCATGCGATGATGCTTCCAAATGAGGTTAATAACGATGTCTATGCCAACGAATATTCAGGTTATCAGGTATCGAATGTTACTCTAATATTAATGTTGATATTCTCCGAAGGTCCTGTCGTAGACGAGATAATCATCCGACGTGAAAGAGACGTCACGAAACTCTGACGAGTGTAATTCTTATCATCCCATACGATCCAGAGAAAATGTACTGCCTACAGTGGCTGATCCCGGTGCTGCTGATACCGAAACCCGTGAACCCAGCGCTGCTGCAAACCCACGTCATGTTCATGGCACTTTATCTGATTGGGTTCTTCCTGGAGCGCAAGCCCTGCACTATCTGCAGTCTCGTGTTCCTCGCCGCTGTCTTCCTCATTTGTTACAGTGGAATAGGCAATTGCCTGCTCTGGAGCACAAATTGTGACACAGTAAGATGCGATAATGGCTAAGATCATGCCAACTGTGTTTAACTCAATCATATTTAGAGAATTATCCTCTTGTCTTTTCCATTGCGTGTGTACACGAGTGAATTTTTGCCATTCTCTTCCTTTTTCTCTCCATACTCTGGCATAATACACGAAAGTAGCTTTTCAATCCGTATTTTGCTAGCATCTGTTTTGCCCATATTGTGAAAGCGATGCCTTTAGTATTTAGGTTTAACAAGTTTAGATTTTCAAATTATCAAAATTTGAGTCTAATGTTCTATAACATCATGTTTTATTGAACATTTTCATGCTAAATTTATGTAGAGTTCAAATTTTGAAATTTTAAATAAGCAAAAATGTGATACGATGTATTTGATGAGATTCATATATAGTTTGAGTTTGGTCACAATTGTTGAGTGGAGTCAAGTAAATTTTCAGATTTTAACGTTATGTAGTCTTTTTTTGTTAATATATATTGTATAACAGATACAAATTTCATATATCAATTATAATACATTTGCTACAACAGAATAAAGCAAAAATCAGAGATTATACAGACAGTAACATATTCCTTTATATTTATTCATAATTTTCTAAACGCAGTTTTTATTCCAATTTTTTCAATACGATTCTAAATAATGTTTTTCCAAATAAAATCCAATATTCTTCCTTATACGTTATGCATTAAAAATACATATAACAATTACATAGAGTTCTTATTTTGTTAAAATCATTTGCATCAACCAATATATCAAATGATTATTCGATTGATGTTAGATGCAAAATGAATATAATTTTTTAAATATTTTAACCGAACACTTAACAGGATTTTATATATTCACACATGTACAATGCACTTGGTATCAAAGTGACACGACACATGAAAACTGAAGTATCTCGAAATTTAAGATGCTATCATTTAGTAAAAACATAAAAATTTGGCAAGTTGTTTATCTACATGGAATTAATTAGCAAATGTCGATTGATTTAAAATGATAAAAATCGAAATAATGTGTAGCGCAAATATTATAAAATTTAGTCAAGCGAGTGTTATATGAGACTAAAATTTCTCAAATAAGTACTTGTCAAATATGTCCTAACTAAAAAATATAGTGTGCAGAACTAAAATTCAATGTGAAATAAGTCTTTTGTATTGCTCATTTGATTTATGTTGTCAGAAGTGTAAATTGTATTTATTTTTTAATTTGTATGCCTCATAAAAAGATTTAAGTGAGATACAAGTTCTGTGCTATTTATAATTGTAAATTTGCTATCCACGAATGTTAATATAATTATCTAATTTAGCATAAGTAGCATTACCAATGTAAATAATATAGATAATCATAGTAACCAAAAATTATTATCCATATAATAGTTCATGAATATGGATAAAAATTGAACTAAAACATTAAGTCATGTCGGTAAATCTTTTATATCTGATGTCTCTGAAGTATATATGTGAAGGTCAATTATCTTCCTGCATCTATCGTATAAGCTTATATTATAATATTTTGACATAAAGCAAGGAATTCCTTTAGCAAAGTTGCAAAAGCTACAGCAGTCTTAGACACATTTTTTTATTCAGATTCGAGTGAAAGCTTGACCAGGAATTTTTGCAACTATAAAAATTGTATCTATCTATATTCCTTGGTATGTAAGCATATATAAAGAATCTGTGATGACTTTGATTGGGAAATCTTGATTAGACAATAGATTTGTCTGTTCGTTAAAACAAATTAGCATTAAAAATGTGCTTCAACTTTCCCACAATATTATTGTTAATCATACCTACATTGCTTCCAAATATAAACTGTAAAATATAAATCGAGAAACTTTACAAAAAAATAAATATAAGAACTATAAGTTTATAAATATATTATGAGAGAGTAATAAAGAAATCCCCAATCAAGTAAATCTGTTTCTTTTTCTTCAATGCATATCATATATTAGAAACACATTGATGAAAGTATCATATGTATTAAATGTTAAAATAAAAATAACATCAATTTTGTTTTTTAAAGCATATTTATTTTATATTAAAACAAAATTACTGAAGAGCTTTTCCACGACCGAAACCACCGCGAAACTCGAGATCGCCGGTACCTGCACCAACATCGGCTTTTTTGTCACCGGCACTTGGAGGACCACCTGGTCCTCGTCTGTATCCCGCACGATCTTCTGTGGGTCTTGAACCTTCGCTCCTAGTTGCTGCAGGTCTTGGTCTTGTAGTTTCTGATCTCGGTTGTTTCTTAAGGGTGGAGGGTACGATTTCAGGTGGTAAATGTAAGTATCCACGTAGATATTCGATACCATCGTTCGTCAAGTACCAATAGAAATGTCGCCATGCAAATTGTTCTTTGACGTATCCTCTAGACTTTAAAGACTAAAAAGATAGGTAAGTATATATACATACACTGGAAACTTTAATTTACATTAATGTATGAGTTAATGATAATTTACAATGTAAAATTTTATTCTTTTTGTACAATGAAAGGAAAATAATAATAATTTTTACCTGCATAGCCTTAATGACTTGAAGATTAGGAATATTTTCTAATTCTGGATGTTTCGATGCATGATAATCCTTCTTCGCTACCATAACTCCCTCCTTGAAAAGGTACTCATAGATAGCTACACGATTCTTTTTTGGCATCAACATTCTGTGAAACAATAAGAAAAATGATTTAATACATATTAGTATATTAAATGTTATAGCCTAAAAACAAGACTGAAAGGTATATACTATCTTTAAGGTTATGTACAGTAATAACAAAATAGACATTATAGGCTAACACAGCTGCATTATTATAAGTTACGTTTCAAAATTACGGTTTGCATAGCTACAATTATGAATAACATTAAAAAACGAGTTTTTATTGAAAGAAATCATACGAGAATAAGACGTATACAATTCGTAAATATTCCACGTAACAACATATAAAAACTGAATATAATGAAATATACTTGATTTGGATAACTTATGGATTTTAATGAACTCTTTACTTTGTTATAATTTTTATAAATAAATAGGATTAAAATGGATATCGCAGGAAGTTCAACTCACTTGACGAATTCAACATGCGCCTGTTGTCGGAAAGAACCATTCGCTTTCGCTCGTGTGGCTCGTGGACAATATCGATATACGATATCTCGAATAATTCGAGATGAGCGAAAATAACTATATTTCTGCCGCGCCACTTGCACTTTTTGCACCATTTACGTTTTCTCTCTTCAACATTAAAATATATACTTGTTTCGTTTAAGTAAAACATTTTTTAAGATTTTAAGCATTTGTTCAAGCAATGTGATAAACTTTTTCTAAAGATTGGTCTACAGTTCACGATATAAAAATGATCAATCGCATGTCAAAATTCGGACATTGTGCATATATATATATATATATATATGTATTCATTCAAATAACTTTAGCTAAAATAGGATTAGAGAAAGTTCTATGTTATTATTTTATTAATAGTTATCGCTCATGTGATAAAAAAAAAAATATATATATATATATCGAGAGTTTTCCAACAGAAACACAAATTAACACAAGAATCATTCTGTCTTTATTTCTTACTGATTATCGAACAAGGATAGGACGACTTTTGTGTCAAGTTGTATCTATTGCTGGAAAGCTCCCGTTGAGAAATCTATGTGTGATAGTTTCAAATATTTCTTCTATTGTAGATAATTTTTTATTCGGAATTCAATTCAATTTCAAATTTAATAATCCTTATTATATAATTCTAATATTCTAATATATTTCTAATATTTAATCAAGCATCCAGTTTCTTTAAATCTTAAATTATTGGCATACATAGGTCGTCTGAATCATTTTACCATTATCTTCACTAGCTGCTGGAGAACCAATAAGCTTATTCTACCACAGACATCAATCCAATAATATGTATATAATATAATATAAATTATATGTATAAATATAATATTAATAATCAGCGCTTACTATTCGACAAATTGGAATTACTTGCATTAACTTTATGTTATAGTAGTATCTCGGGATAACACATCGGCTAGTATATTTATAATAAATTTTTATATTTAAGATTATCTTAAGTACAGTCTTAAGATGTCATAAGCCAATCACAGAGTCATAGCATCTTAAGAGTTACAATATTACTTGTCATTGAAATTTTTTAAGACTTACAATGTAGATAGTTAAATTATATCTTGTTACAATATATTCTATGTACACAATTTAAATTATATTATCATAGATTTTTTTAAGAAAATATAAAATTAAATATGAATTTCTTGATAGCAAAAAGGTTCAATATCAAAATGTGACTGCACTTCATTTATCATTTGCTGGTCAAACATCAATGTTATGATAACAAGAATTGGTTTTCTTTTAAATATAATCTTTTTAGGTGAGAAACAATGCTAAATACACAAATGGGTACTATGTTATCATGTTATACTACATTATATAATCATATATTAATTTTGCAGCATCTTTGACTTATTTTTAGGTTGCAATATAATCTCTGTTGTATTTCTTTTGTATTTTTTTTTATTGGTAAGTTTCAAAATAGATATATGGCAGAAATTCACTGTGGTTTAATTTGAAGATAATTTGAATTTCGAGAAAAAATATCTATGATAATTAATAATTATTTTTTAAAATCCTGAGAAATTAGGCAAATGAGAGTTCCCGGGATTTTTTATTATTTGGAGAGCCATAAAGAAATTATAATATTTTCGTTACTAATAATTATTTTAATTAAACGTTCTTAATTACTATCGTTGTTAACTTCTGTACAATTCAAGCTCTTACTAGAATTACATTTTTCTATTGTATTTTCATTATGAATTTTAAGAATACTTGTAGGACGTCCTCTTTTATGTTTTGCTCTTGTATCTCGTTTCATACATATTTTATGACCATTTAAGACTGGCCATTTGTGCTTTTCAGTTAGATATTCCGCTGCTATTTGAATATTTTCCATTTTAACCATTGCACTCCTATACAAATTGAAAAATGTATTATTATAAATATAAATATATATAAATACATACTTGTGCATATATTGTATATATATATATATGCATATATAAAAGCAGAAAGTTCGAAAAGTATATATTGCATCATAGCGACAAAGTTAGAAATTTAATAAAAATAGGGTAATATTATTTAATAAAAATAAATTATACTTACCTAAAATCTTTATTGTAAGATTTTAATAAAGTAACACCAACACATCCAGGAAGGGCACCTCTTATTTCATGTGATTTTGTACCACTCGTTACATTTGAAATAAATAATCTGTAAAAGTATAAAATATGAAACATGAAATATTAATAATCTTGTGAAATAAAGTTATGATTCAAGCAAATAATTCTTACGTTTTTGTTACTTCAATGTCCGGTTTAATTTCAGGTATAAAAACCTTTTTTCTTGTGTTGATTTCTTTTTTAAATACAATCTCACGCAATGGTTGAAT